CTGATCAGAGTTCATGAATTGTGAAGGAGATGAGTAGAAACTACCTGAATCGGAGAAGCATAACTCCTGGGGATCAGGAAGGCGTTGAAATCCAATGTCCTGCCTTGGAAGATCCTTTGCTGCCGGAGCCGCCCTGCATTCAGTATCAACAAAACCATTCTCCATGATAGCATTCTGCAAAGACCTGGACAATATATCACTTTGTGTTGGATGCTGAAGTGGATCATCTTGGTGATAGTCGTCTAAGCCAAGACCATTTTCTTCATGAGGATCCCCACCTTGGTCATCATCATCCTCATCATCTGAATCATCATGATTGTTATCATTATCATCCAGCTCTGGGACATGATTATAGTAATCTTGCAACTGCAAATACTTATTGAATTTGATTTTGGTACATCGCCTCTTCTTATGCCCATGAGCGCGCATTGAACTGGGAAAAAGTGGACTGTTAGGATCAATGTACACAGGTGATCCATTCTGGATTGCTTTTTCCATAAAGAAAGCGTCCAGATTCTCCTCCAAAGTCTGATCATCCTGCATGTGGCAGTGTTGGAGTGGATGACCCAATCTACCACACCTCTTGCAAAACTTGTGGGCATTTTCATACTTACATTTTATTTTTGCAAATCGACCATTTCTTTTCTCAAAATAAAATCATGGAGTCAAAGGATCTCCTGGCTGCACCTACACTTTGGCCCTCACATAGGTGGCTTTCCTCAGGGAAACACAGTCTTCCTTGATAAGTGCAATCTCACCAATATTCTTAGCTAGATCTCTGGCCCCCAAATAGTTTAGAGCAGTAATTGGCACGCTATGCATCCTCACCTAGAGGCTCAACTTGTCAATTCTGATGGAATCCTGTGCCAAATCCTCATTATCATAGCATCGCCTGAGGATCAATAAACCACCTTCCACTGCATATGGACCATTGTCCAAAACAGTAAGGAGATCAGCCCTACTGAGGAACTTGATCGCAAAGAAATTGCGATCATAATGCAGAATCCTCGTACACATTGGCCAGTTCTTATTCAAATATTTCTACATGCGAGTATTATCAAACTCTCGATCATCCAGCAGGCATCCTAGCAGAGACAATTTGAGATTCTCTCTGGAAAGACGGGAATTGTCATCTGTTAGGCGCATAGCACCTACGCGATAGTGAGATGTGTAGATCTGGTATGGATTTGGGTCAACAGCCGGGTTGAAATCATAGTGTTCTTCTGAAAATTCTGACCCCGCAATAGACATGGCAGTGACAAAATCTTCATATATTGCATGTCGATGGTTCATAATGTTAACAAAAGTAAAGGAGATGGAATAAAGATTTTGAAAGGGATAACAGAGAATCAGAGATTGGTGGGCGAGAAAAGGGACAAGAGAGGACAATAAGAAGACAAGGAAACGACGCAAGGAAAATAAGAAAATTTCATAATAGGAAGTGAACATGTATGTCTTTTGAGACTTGGGCGAATGTCTAGGAAAAGAAATCCAATCAGAAAAGCAAACGCCTTTATTACCCAGACAGATAAAGGACAAGACTATAAATTGGGAGTAAATCTAGGAGGCAGATGATCTTGATTAGCTAGTAAAAGAGGTGGAAAAACGGCTGGGTAGTAAAACCAAAGCTGAGAGAAGATTGTGAATTTTGATTAAGGGGAATGGTATTTTATAAAAGGGAAAATGGGTCTTTTCATCCCAAAGTTTGAGCCACACTATCCAAAACATCCCAAAGTTTAAGAACATGCCATTTACATCCCAAACTTTTTAAAAACCTGTTACATTAGGATATTCGTTAAATTTTTAACTCCTGTTAATTAATTGGTGGTGGTACTTTATTCTGTTTCTCTGCCCCCAATTCTTTTAATCATTTAACACGTTCCACTAACTCCCACCTTATAAGAAAATAGCTAAATCTAATTTGGTTTTCACATCATCCATTCTTCCATTGCTTAGAAAAAGAAAAAAAAAAATTCAAGATTCACCTTCTAGATTGATAACAATAATGAGAGGTTTTGTGTGTCATAATTAGAAAGTAAACCCTATTTCATTTATTTTTTTAAATATATAGCGTCATTATAAAAATTGGTGTTGTAATTGATGCAGGGGCATGCAACTTTTTTGTTTGGCATGGACCAAATTTACCAAACGCAAGCATGAAACTTTTTTGACTAAAAAAAATGGGAGAAAAGAAACTGAATAAAATATCGCCGTTAATAATTTGAAAAAAATTAACAAATATCCTAATATTACATATTTTTGAAAAGTTTGGGATGAAAATGGCATGCTTTTAAACTTTAGGATGTTTTAGATGGTGTGCCTCAAACCTTGGGATGAAAAGGCCTATTCTCCCTTTTATAAAAAGAGAGGATAAAAAAAAAAGGGGAATAGAATAAGTGCATGTGCTCCAAATGGCACAAAAACAAGAAGTCACTCCAAAATCATGATTAAGCTTCGCAATCCGGAAATAGAAAAGCGTAAGCAAACTAATTTGTGATTTCCAAGGAAATCTAATGAGATCATGCACTAAAAATTGTTTGCATTTGGGTGGATTTGGCTTAGATGAATTGATAGTGTTAGATGCGGTTTGAGTTAGGGGTGTTCACGGTTTGGCTCAAACCGGTGGAACCGCCCAATCCGGTCATCGGTTCGGATTAACGGGCAGATTATAATTATATTTTTAAACCGGCAGATTAATAAATTGAAAACCGGTCAATTCGGTCTGGATTACGATTTGACAGTGTCAAACCGTCTGTCAATCCGGATCGGACCGTATATGTATTATAAAATAATAATATATTGGTTTTGTATATATAGCGTCGGATAGAGACTTTTATTGAAAGTGCTAAGTTGTACTATTGGCATTGTTGTTTTTCCCTCTACATTAGACCTTGTTGAAGGTCGTGTGTTCGAATCCCCTATGGACTAATTTTATTTTTTTTTTCAAGAAAATCCTCCAAAAAAAAGCTTTATTTTTTTTTTCAAGAAAATCCTCAAAAAAAAGCTAAAAAAGGCCAAAAAATTTTTCAGGAAAAGCTACCAAAAAGGTCCAACAACAAAAAAAAGTTTAATTTTTTGCCCAAAATGAAAAAGTCCAATCAGAAGCTCAAACCGCCAATCCGCCCAAACCAAACTGTTAAAAACGGATTGGATTGGTCCGGATTATACACCAATTCGGTTCGGTTACGGATTGAAAATTTTTCAAACCGTAATGAACGGTTTGGTTACGGATTGCTATTAATCCGGACCAATCCGGACCATGAACGCCCCTAGTTTGAGTAGTGGTTTTTCTCACTTAGAGAAAGAGATGACTTTTTCTTTCTTGGTGTTTAGAAAGAGAAATGGTTTTTTCGGAGATTTGGAGTCGACATTATCTTTGTTGGTTAGGCAAGAAATTCATCGAAGGAAGGATATAAATTGGTGATGTGTGAATGCAAGATTATGGTCGGATAAATCTATATATATTGACGGGGTAGGGTACACTTTAAAAGGTACGCACAAGTGATTAATGTATTGTCCTACAAGATTGCGTGCCTTTTACTTGGCTAATTTTCTAATCCAAGGTGGTGACCCATTAGCACAAACCTCGAAACAAATGGTCGGACCAACAACAACGAAAGATCTTTTTGATTTGATTTGAACCAGCCTGTCTTTAATCTTTTTACTATATGTAATCTTAATCAAAAGAAAATACCTTCCATCTTACTAGTACTTTTTAAGCATGATTTATTTCATACTCAATGTTGCCCATGCATCATCAACATTATAAATTACTACCATTCATTATTTATTTTTTTTGGTCTCATTTTATTCATTTACTTTGTTGCACAAAATTATTAAAATATGGCAGATGATTAATTTGCGCCAACCGTGGGTGAGTCACCGTAGTCAAATGCACATGGTTCAGTATGGAGATAGCCAGATAGGAGAGTGGACAATTCACAATTGACTAATGCGGCCGTGTTCTGCCAGGGAATCCTATACGCAATTCTCACCAAAATATTGTTCTCTTTTCAGTCTTCACTACTTGTAATACTTGTATTTCTTCTCGGATCAACTTCAAAGATAGGCCATCATCTACCAACTGCCTATTACAATACAATACTCCCTCTGTTAAAAAAATAAAATAAAATCACTTTGAGTTTGAAAATTTGTACTAAAAATAATAGAGATGTACTAATTATAAGGTTACGATAATGCTATACAATCTTCAGTGATTTTAAGTTCATTTTGGATTATTTTTTTCATGTAGTAGACAGGAGAGTATCTGTTGTGGGCAAAACTAACGACTAATCTTAATATATCCACTGCATTGTAACCTGTACACTGTTGACAAAGGATTTTGGACACTACATTTCTCGTAAGTATAATTCTGAAATGGAATTTGAGAGCATTGGCAATTGGCAACAACAAGTAAAGAAATTTACTCCCACCATCCGTCCCCCAAAAAAATTTACTAATATGCTTGCTGTGAAGTAAAAAATTGGTTTTTTTTTCCCTTTTTTGTTTTTACATACCGAAGAAGCCGAAATTTAGGTACAAAAGTAACTCATCGGAAGTGAGTTGTGTTAGGTAAATCTAACGTTATTTTTAATAGAGTAGTGTCCGAAATAATAAGAAAGCCCAAAGCTACGGCCATGAGTAGAAAGTCTGACCCATACCGTAAAAGCGCAAGTATTATGGGCCTTAGACTGACGATTTTTTTTAGTCCAAAAGAGTGGCCAGAGAGAACTAAGGGGAAAAAAGAGAGAAAGCAATACATTTGTAGCCCCAAACTGTTAGTTAATTTTGAAGTCAACGGCGATGACATTGATTGAAGTGGTTCACAAAAATAGAAATAAGAATTGCTTACAGATTGAACATAATTAGATAGAGTTTTTTTTTTTTTCTGGAAAAGAATTAGACAGAGTTAGTTGGAGTAGGATTGCTGTTAGAAACTGTAATTTTGGATAAAATTGGCGGCGGAGGAGTGGCGGAATCGGGAAGATGCGAGGACGAAGATGTGGAAGGAGATCGGAGATAGGGAATTCGGAAAGCTTCGGCCTAATTTATTCAGTAATCTTGTTAAGTCATCCAGAACTGCTTCCCTCCAGCTCTCTAATCACAAAGAAATAGTTTCCTCTCACCGGGGCTCCGTTAACTCCCTTCAGGTTTTCCCATTGAACTCTCTTCAAATTTTACATTAATTTTTATTCAGTTTTTGATAATACCCTGCTCAAATGTAGTCATATTGTAAAAACCCACCTGTAATATTGGCCAAATTTTGATTTTTCTTCATCAAGTTCGGGTTTTTAGAGTAATAATCCAAACATCATTCTGATCATAAACCATCAGGTTGACTTGACAGAAGGACGGTATTTGTTGGCTGGTGCTGCAGATGCTTCTGTTGCTGTGTATGATGTTCAATGTGCCAGTGATCGTGAGGCCGATGGCCTTATTGCAAAGCACAAGCCTTTATTTGTAGTTGACAAGCAACATGAACAGGGTCACAAATATGGGGTGTCCACAGTTACCTGGTACCCGATTGACACCGGGTTATTTGTTACTGGTTCATATGATCATCATATCAATGTCTGGGACACCAATACCACACAGGTTACTGTTCTCTTTTATTTATTGTTTTGCATGTATATGACATCAATGTCGAATGCTGCTGTATTTGAGCGTTTTCCTCCATTATTCTGTAGGTGGTAATGAACTTTAAAATGCCCGGAAAGGTTTATAAGACGGCAATGTCTGCACTAGCAACTTCTCACATGCTGATTGCCACGGGGACTGAAGACGTCCAAGTTCGTCTTTGTGATATTGCTTCCGGGGCATTTGCACACACGCTGTCTGGTCATCGTGGTAAGCTCCTATTTGTGTCTTCTGGTGCTGTTGTTTGACTGGTTCAGAGGCATCATATCTTGAAATCTATGAATTTGTACTTTACGCCATGATCATGGTTCTCAATTTAAAAATACTGGGTTCAACTTTTCCCGTGGTATTCTTTTTTCTGAACCTTTTGAACTCTTGCTGATTTTAACATGGTTTCATTTAGTACTGATGGCAATGTTATTGCTGCATCAAGAGACCCTTAATGCCAAGTGTTTTTTCCATGTTAGATGGTGTAATGTCAGTAGAGTGGTCTAAGTCTAGTGAGTGGGTTTTGATAACTGGGGGATGTGATGGTGCAATTCGTTTCTGGGACATCAGGCAAGCAGGATGCTTCCGTGTATTAAACCAATCGGATTCTCAGCTTGGGAGGCGACCAGCGCTGCTTGCATGTTCTGCTGCCAATAAGGTTGAATATCTCTCTCTCTTATTGTGCAAGAAGTCTTCTCGGTAATAATCATTTATTTGTAAACTTGTATAGAAACTTCAGATATTATGTTACACTTGGGAAGTAGAGTTCCTTTCTGGTTCCAGATCCATTTTAAAATAAAAAAGATCGGGTGATAACCTTATTAAAGCAGATGTTATTAAGGTAGGTCCCTTAAATGTTTCCGTAGACATTGGTGATTAAATTAAACAACTTTTCCCTCCTCTTATGTCCTCTAGAACTATAGTGTCTTATTACCTAATTCTATCCTTGATACTGCAATTTTTTTTTTATCTGGAACGTTTTACAGTAGCTTGTTTGTTGCTGGGGGACTAAAGCTGCCATACACAAATGACAACTTTGAAAAGCATAAACTTGACATGGAAATCGTTAGATATCACAGTTTTAGTAATTCTTCGTCAAGATGGTTGTTATTGTCTATAATTAGTTTGTATTTCTAGTGGATACGTAAATATTGCCGAGTTTTAAGGTTGACTGTTATCAGATAAAAAGTCATTGTACTCACAACTAGGTTCTTTCTCAGGCTTCAACGTCAAAGTCTTCACCCGCGGGACCAAGTTCATCAGTAAAATCCCGCTTGCTTCAGAAGAAAATGGCTAACGGAAATTCATCAAAACATACGAGTCCTAGTAAAACCACCACTCAAGTGAAGGGTTCCATGAAGCAGAGGTTACATCCAGGAATGCTGTCTACTCAGGATCGAGCTACTGCCCATTATGGTGCTGTACTTGGTTTGTCTGCCACCCAGGATGGAATGTACCTTCTCAGTGCAGGTTCAGTTTGATACTCTCTCTGTAAAATCTCTGTTTTAAATTTCAGAAGTGAAGTATATGTTTTATAAATTTTTAATTCTAATGTTGAGCATCTTGTGGGTGGTCTGTAAACATTAATATGTTCCATGCACAGAAAATTCATTTAGATGTATACGCATTTGTTCTTGATTTCATAATCATTTTCTTTGTGTACCTTAAGACCATTGCAAATGCAGTTGTTCTTTTAGCTTTGTGCTGATAGTGGTTTTGGTCAAAATGGTTTAATAAAATTTCTGTGCTTCTTCTATTAGTGAAGTTGCTGGAAATCAATAGATCAAACGACACGATAACCTGGGTGGCAATGTAAAAAAGCTTCTTTGTATAGTTGCTGGAAATCAATAGATCAAACGATACGATAACCTGGGTGGCAATATAAAAAGCTTCTTTGTATAGTTACAGGGGTAAGACTGCAAAATTTGACACCCCAGACCCCTACTTAGTTGGGAATGTGCTGGATATGGTGTTGATGTTTCCTTCATATACCCAATGAGGTACTAGCTAATATTCTTGCAGGTAGAATGATGAGAAAATTTTGTTTACTTTTTGAGTCTTAACATCTTTCTTTTGTGTCATTTCAACCAGATTTTTGTCATAAGACTGCTGCTTGTCTCAGATTCTGATGGTTGGTGTTGGTAGTTGGTACTTGGAATTTTAAATATGACATGCCCCAGACAGGACCCCACGTTGCCTTCCCCATTTATTCTTGCATTTTGCTCAAAGCTTACTCATCGAGGTTGCATAAATGATACCCAAGTTTCCTTTCCATTTTTTTCTGGTGTTTTTATGAGTTGGAATAATTATGATTGTAGGACTGTCTCAATGCAACCGATTAACTTCTGAACTGTTCGTGTTCATGTTGTGAAATGCATTTTGGATTGCCACTTAACCTTTTCCCTGAACAAGAATTTGTGGAATTTAGTCATTGCTCTTGCCCTGTCTACGCTTGAGTTGTAGCTCCATCTTTCGGGGTATTGAATATGGTTTTTATTCTGATGTTATTTAGTTGGACTCTGGATTGCAGGTTCTGATTCAAGATTAAGGTTATGGGATATAGAATCAGGGTGCAATACACTTGTAAATTTTGAGATCGCACGACTACAAGCCAGCAAACCGTTGCAGTTGGCCACTTCACAAGATTCCCTTGTTTTTGTTCCATGCATGTCTACTATTAAAGTAAATGCTTTTTCATAGGGGTAAAGCTATTTGGTCTTGTACTTATTGGACCATCTCTGACTGAATGTTCTCAATGAATGTTTCAGGCATTTGATTTTTGGTCAGGCAAGACGGTCCTGAGTTTCCGTGGCCATTATGAGAATGTGAACTGTTGCTGGTACCACACAGAGGATCAGGTTAGGCATTGTGGTAGTCAAGGTTATCATTTCATTCATCACAACAGAAGTGCAATTTGGTTTTGCTGAAGGTCGTGTCTTGAAATTTGAGTGTGAGAATATTATCGTAATATTGTCCAGAAGGAATTGATAATGTACTTCACAGGTTCTCCAGATATACTAATAATAGATAAAGGGAACTATTATCCTTCTCAAATATCCCTCTTCTGGTGTTCTTTTGCAGCGATATGTGAGAGTTGTGTTAGTTTACCTGGTTACCAGTTATTAAATCAAAATTTTGCCCTTTTCAGGAACTGTATACAGGCGGCAACGATAGACAGATATTGGTGTGGTCTCCACCCAATTCTACAGCCAATGAAGTGGTACGTTTATGTAAATTCACCCAGACATTTGATACACGTAACATTTCTAGAGGTATGATAACCTTACTCTGTTTGAGTTATACTACAGGAGGAATGGAGGAAAGGGCAGGCTTCCGCACTAGATCAGGACAACTGGAGTGACTGAAAGTTTATCGAGCCAGTTGTACGTATAGTTTCTATAGTTATGAAGTATCCTATAAACAGCCAGAATAAGAGGAAATCGGAAGAATTCTATTTTGGTTCCTTTGTTCTTGTAAAATACCAGTAGGATCTAAGGTACATATGGTTTCTGCAAGTATTAACAATGAGAGTGCAATTTTGCTTTTCTTCCTTCTTTCCCATCACAAGCTTTACTCCTTTGTGGAAAAGGCAGTGCATCAATTTTGCTTTCAACAATCATTTTTGACATACGTACGTTCATTTGTATAATAGCACTTAACAAAACATGAAGCTATTCAGGACTCTTAGGGCCTGTTTGATAATCACTGAAGTCTGAATCTGAACACTTAACACTTAACACTGAAGTCTGAAGTCTGAAAACTGAAAACTGAATTTACATTGTTTGATAAAGACGTCTGAATATGATGTTTGAAGACTGAAGTCTGAAGTCTGAAGACTGAATCTGAATACTCATGTCTGAAAGTTATTTAAAATTTTAATATCATTAAAATTGAATTATAAACAAAATTCTTTTAAATAGAAAAATAACTAATATTTTGTTCTAAATAATAAAATAATAATTTTGAAATAAGTTTTTGTATATATAATGAAAGTAGATGTTACACTTGGTAAATAATCAATATATAATTATTTAGATTATTACATATATGTGTATACTTGTTATTTAACAAATTTCATGTATTAAAATTAGTTTAATTTGAGTTTGAAAGTTTGAGATCTTTTATACACATAATATAAATTCAACTTTAAGCACTCTTAATTAATTTATCTTAAGAAAATAAAAATTTTAAAAACAATGTAAAAATAAGCGACAAAATAAAGACGAGGGGAAAAAAAAGAAAAAAGAAAAAAAAAAGAGTTACACACAAATTAAGTGATAAGTGATAAGTGATAGGCCTATCATTTATTTTCTGGCTTACAATTGAACTGGCCATTCAGACACAATTAATTAATTCAGACAGTAAAATTTTAATTATCAAACGCACTTAATTTATAAGTACTTAATTAGTTCAGAACTTAATTCATTAAAACTTTTTAGTAGCGATTATCAAACATACTTAATTTCATTAATTACTTAAATAAATTAAGTCACTATGTTAAGCCTTACTCATACAAAAGCCTAACAAAAACCATGACGATGGTCACGACTCACGAGGCGCTGGATATCCTGCTAGACCGCCCTTAAATTGCTGGAGATGATCAAGGGAATACAAGAGATGCGGGAGATTAGTATTGCTACATACTAGGTGTTAGACTCGTCCGATGGACGGGGAACACATATACATAGATATTATTACACAAACAAATCAAAAAAATGTTAATATTTGTATAGATTTTTGTATTTTTATAAAATATATAATGAATTCATTAAAAAATATAAAACACAAACATCGACAACACTTTACCAAACGAATACACTGGTAATTTATTTAATGCAAAAAAAATTGTTAATAAATTAAAAAAAAAAGAACTTTGAATTAAATAATTATATATCTTGCAATATTTCTTGGTAGACTACATTGGTAGTCTGGGGTGAAAGGTCGGCTAGGGTGGTTAAGAAATTATGATAAGGAATTTTTTTTTTTTGAAAAGGTTTATGATAAGGAATGGTTACTACAAAAACAACGGCCCTAACTTGTTGTAGAGGCCATCTAATTCTTTAATAAGAAAAATAAAAAAAATAAAAAAGTTGGATATCAGGACCTTTATTCATTGTTTCGGAGTGACTTTTGATTTCAGTGTTTTTATTTTATTTGATTTCAGTGTTTTTGGTTTCAGGTTGGCCTAACTTCTTTAATTATTTTAATAAATTATTAATATAAAATTCTTTTTCAGTTGTATTTTTTTTTAAGAGGAAGAGATCCATCCATCGAATTTGCAGGGATTTGGTCGAATCAATATAGGGTTTGGATTTTTTCAGTTGCGTTTTTTTTTTTTGGGTTTTTATTGTTTTGTTTTGTGCATTTTTATATCTAGAAAATTAAGAAAATGCCACATAGGATCCTTAACTTATTGTAGAGGCCATCCAATTTTTTAATAAGAAAAATAAAAAAAATAAAAAAGTTGGATATCATGACCTTTATTTCTTGTTTCGGAGTGTCTTTTGATTTCATTTTTTTTATTTTTTTATTTTCTTTTTTAAATATGATGCATTCTCACTTTCCTTCATTTTTTATTTTTTAGCCTCATTTGTTCGTTTGATTTAGTTATTTCTCATTACCTATCTAATAATTTATCTTTAATTAATTTACCCATTGTCAGAAATATTTTATTTAAAATGTGAGGGTGGGACTATTTTTTTACCCTTAAAGAATATCCTGCTCATTTTTTCTTTTTGAATTAAAGTTAGAATTTTTAAGAAAACAATTTTAAAATTGGTTCAAAAAATCATAAATTTGCAACATAAGATTTAGTCATATGTGGCATGACACGATACCTTAGATTTTCTCACTCTAGAGTTTGCTTTACTATAATATATATATATATATATATATATATATATATATATATATATATATATAGACTTCTTTTCTGGAAAAAAAAGGAACCAAAAATTAAGAGCCCAATATTTAGCCGCATAGACCCCTTAATATTTGTTGAAAACATGAAACATTTGGCAGTCACACACGATTAGATAAATAAATTTATCTTATTAAAAAGCACAATATTTTTTTAGGAAACAGAAACTGGAATAAAAAAAATTAAGTAGATAACCAATTCAACAGTCACTGTACTATTGTCGGAATGTAGTGTGCATCAGAAATCTATGCAAATTTTCAATGGAATGATGAGCACAACCTGAACTTGAAATTCATTAACAAGATTAGCTAAACAGAGGTAATAATCAAACTATTCTAATTTCAAAATAAATAGCACCGTTAGAATCATGATTTCATCAGCATTCAAGAAGAACCATTTCGTCAGTATTCAAAGCCGTTTCTTGATTCCGTTTCTGCATGACAAAACAAACAGCTTCTCAGCTATTTTGCTTTCTATCCATCTTCAGACCATTTTTGTGAGATCTCGAGTGTTAAGACCTTCTTACTTAGCGAGTAGTAGTTGATTCATGTGTAAATTAGTATACTTATTTCTAATGTATGTACATTTTGCCATTTAGATTCAAGAAAGATAAATTAAAAATTTAGATTTTAAAACGTAAAAAAAGAAGAAGAAAGAATAGCCATAATTAAAGCCTTTTAATATTTTTATGCTTTGCCAGATCCATTCTTAGCCCCGCTACATCAACCCATCACCATAATATTTTAACTTAATTCCATATTAATGAAGCTAAATTATAGAAGTTTCAGGTTGGCCTAACTTCTTTAACTATTTTAATAAATTATTAATATAAAATTCTTTTTCAGTTGCATTTTTTTTTAGGAGGAAGAGATCCGTCCATCGGATTTGCATGGATTTGGTAGAATCAATATAGGGTTTGGTTTTTTTCAATTGCGTTTTTTTTTTTTGGTTTTTATTGTTTTGTTTTGTGCATTTCTATATCTAGAAAATTAAGAAAATACCACATAAGATAAAATCTTATGTGGCATGTGCTTCTTAACTTTAGATTTCTCTGATAGCATAACGGAATTTACAGAAACAATTATCAGAGTTTAATCAAGGATAAAACAAGGTAAAAGAAGACAGTGGAGAGGCTTTCAATTGATTCTCAATATTTTCGTATATAAAGTATCTGTACAAGGCCGTATATATGTACATCACTAAACTCTAGAATCATTTAATCGTTGATTCCTGGGGACCGCTGTCAAGCTGGATTATTGCTGATGTTTTTAAGAGTTGGATTAATTATGATTGTGGGACTGTCTTAAGGCACTCCGAACTGTTAGTGTTCTTGTTGCAAAACTCATTTTGGATTGCCTCTTAATTACTTTATTCCTTGACAAGCATTTTCGGAATTTAACCATTGCTGTAGCCCTGTCTACGCTGGAGGGGTAGCTCCATCTTCCGGGTTATTGAATATGGTAATTGTCCTAATGTTATTAGTTGGGCTCTGGATTGCAGGTTCTGATTCAAGATTGAGGTTATGGGTTAGTCCTCTGACAGACCAACCTTTTGATTCCCTATTAATTGGTATATGCAGATTAGTCTTGGCGCATTCATTGTGGGATTGAGGGTTTGAAATGAATACAAATAGTTCAAACTTAAAAATGGACATCAACCGACTCTTATGAAAAAATAAGAAGAGGCAGATCTGGATGTATTTGACGCGTAGAACAGAAGAAGAGTAATATAAATTCTCATCATCCTCCTAAGAGATTAGTAAGGAAAACATCTACACATTGTTTCTTACATTCTTTACTGTGTATTTCCACATGTACAAAATTCGATCATGTGATCGGTTTACTTACACGAAGAGGAATTATATGATCAGCTCACTGTAGTGTTTACACATCATTTTACTTCCATTCCTCTACGTGATTTATTACATAAATATATGACAAATTAATGGTATAACTATGCATAACCCTCTCATGACCTTTACATACAGGGACAAACCGACAAAGGGCTTAGAGCCTCCGTACAGATACATCTGAAATTTCACACTAAGTACTCAACTATAACACATGCTACAAATGCCGGATGATCTTGTATCTGCACTGAATCTCATATTTACGGCAACAGGGCAAAGTTGGAAGTCCCAAAAAAACTGCAAAAACCCGTTTCTTCGTAAATTAGGTTCTCATTTTTTCTTTCTTTCCACCTTGATGGCTTCATATGCCGCCATAACTTCCCTAAACTTGGCTTCGGCAACCTCTGCAGCCAATAACAAGAACAAAATTAGTCCAAGCGGGCGTGTTAAGGTGATGGATGCATGTGTGGCTAGATGGGTTTAACCATTTACTAAGCACAGTGAGATTGGTGGGGATGCAGTTTCCAGGAAAGGTGGAAAGGCCTTTTACAGTAAAAGCTAAATATTCAATAGTTTCAACTTCAGCACATGCACTTTCAAGAAATCATTATCATATTATAACTAAGTAAAATTTATGAATGAAGATTGACAAATAAATCTGATGATAGTCATAATCTTGTACCTTTATTATTCTGATTCTGATCAGGATGGAACTCCAATGCCTTTGCTCTAAAAGCTGACTGCATTAAATGAAAATGAGCACCAAATAAGCGACTGTAAAGAAACAACTAATATAGGAATTCACATTTTAAGCAGATACATGATGACAGACCAGCTTGACATATTGTAATGGTCTATATACAATCATTGCAAAATTATATCAGGTGGCATTCTACAAGACAGATGGCTCAATTTCAGAATTAGGACACATTCCCAACTAATGGACTTAAGTAAAATATGGGTGTTAAAGGTTATACAGAACAACTGCATGTGAGAAGAATAGCAGCAATCAATCCAAATGGCACCACAGATTATGGCTAGCCCCAAACAAAAAGAAAGGTGAAATTTAGACTTCTTCAAGAATTAGGAAAGCCAAGCATCCAAATCAAAGCATCTTCACTGACCTATAGTCATCTGTATTTATAAATTCCAGTTCTCCAATTTCTTCTTGTCAGGTCCTAGGACGACTTGGAAATCAAGATAAGGCTGATTGCACCCCAATCTCTCCTTAAACTGATTTAATTATGTCATGGAAGTTCTATCCTCTTTACGTCAAATTAACAAAAGAACTGTCCCTTTCATTCATTTTCTCTATGCCAAGAAAAACTGGACACTCTTTCCAACTAATATCTCAAGCTTTATAATTCCTATATAAAACAATAACAAGACATCTGGTTCTCCTGACAAATTGAAAAGAAGCGGGCAGAGAAGAATAATTAGAAAGAATAAGACTACCTTTATCTCGTCATCTGTGTAGGGCTTTGTTCTTGTCCTGTGGCATAGAGAACATCCAAGATGTAAATTTCAAAATATCAGCTCTCGAAGAAGTATCCGGTTTAGGAAAAATAGCTTGTTTTAAGAGGAATAGCATACTGAAAACAAATCATCTTAGAAAACATATGTTGCCATCAGAGGAAAACAGATACAGGATAACAAGTCAATGATATTATAAATGTGCATATTGATTCATCTGAAACACGGGACATCAAATTATGTTCATTTTTATCAGAAGCAAAAGTTTTCATCTTTATCAAGACTTCGTTAAGTTAGCTCAGAGACCGGTGCCTAATCCAACAATTCCTTGACAATTAGAACTTTTATTTAACAAATATCTTCCCAACCTTAAATACTCAAGCTATTCAGAGTGACTAGTTCTAAAGTTTTGTTCACCCAATAAATTTGGTAGAATAAATGCGAAACAATAAACAGAGAACTTGATTATCTAGCACTACAACAAGATACCCAGTAATTTCCCAACTTTGTTGGGTTTTGGGGGTCAAGATGTATGCAGCCTTACTACAGTTTTCAATACAGAGAGGCTGCTTAAAAAAGGCCCAAGATGCATTGGTGCATTTGATGTATAGATTTGCAGCAACTTCACTAATACAAAGAAATACCGTAATCAAATGAGCCATTTTAGTTTAGTCCATTATTCGCACAAAGCTAAAAGAATCTTGTGAAAAGAAAAGGAAAAGAAAAAAAAGACATTTGAGCTTGAAACTGGGAAGTCATCACATTCTAAAGATTGATTTCCTGTCTCAACACCAAATACTACATCAAGCAATGACCTTCAGAGATCCCTACCTCATTGCTATTGATTACTCTTTCACTTGTATACAGATGTTTAGGTGGAGTACTATCAAATAACTATGCTTGAAGTTTTGGGCTGGTAACTTCAATCCAAATGTCTCAAACTTATGCCAATAGAAACATCAAAGCAATATGCATACACTTTTTTTGCTCCCAGGCGTCTCAGCTAATGACACATTTACTCAATCGGAGATAAATTTCAGCCATCAATACACGTTTAAAAAAAAAGTGGCTTCTCAAACTGAGCTTAATATTATCTAAAACATCAAAGTATTACCTATCGAGACCCAGAACTGAGTAGTGATGTGATAACAGATGGTTTCGAGTGGGCTTGGTAGCATCCCTGAAATTAGTTCCCCGATCCCTGAATGACGTATCACCCTTCCAGTACCAGTCGTTCCTCTGAAAATGTTGGTGATAAGTACCATCACCATTTTGCGCCCAGCTCTCATAATTTCTTTTGTGCTTATTTCTCTCTCTATTAAAGACACTTTGCATCCGCCTTATTCGCTCCTGAATAAAAGTGAATTGTATTATCATCCTGTAAGAACCGAGATATAAACAAACTGACCCTGCATCCAATGGCAGCCTAATGGAAGAGGTGCAGAACATTGGAAGCAATAAAATATTTTTCAAACAGGAAATGGTTGAAAACTGAACAAATAAAACATGCATCTACATTATGAGATGAGATGAACAATAAAGTCAGAAAACAATGAAGGTGTTCTTACCACTCTCTCCATTTCTTCTTCATACTCTTCCTGCATCCGACGATTGTATCTTCTACGTGCTTCTTCCTGAAAACTTGTCCTGAAAGGGCCACTAGAAGCACTTTTCCATGATCCTTTTGACCTGCTCAACTTTTTTTTCAGAAAAGCAATAACATCATTCATCAGTTAATTGAGCGTTAATGTTTGTCATCCAAATTTCTTCCCCTTCTCTCCAATAATTACAGGGGAGCAAAAAAACAAAATGTGAACTGTTAAAGTTTAGCGAGAGCTGCTGTTCTTAACAACAAGTGAACAAAGATATGTAGATGCTCAAATTCAACTGAATTTTGTTCCCTATTAGACAAAACACATTTTGACTGCCTACAAGTAGCAGTAACTACTGAAGGTATCACAGAGAAAAAACAATTGCTGTTACTCAACATCTCAGAAGGAAAAATAGTAAATACCTGAGAATAAACCCAGTTAAATGAAATCCATAACCGAGAAACCTGCCAAACAGTCCAAATTTATCTACATCATCCAGGTTCACAGAAAACACCTTTCAACAATCTTCATGAACTCTATAGCAGATAGTGAAAACAAGATGCGTACACAGTTTTTGTGTTAAAAGAATGAAAACGGAACCTACCAGCAAAAGTTAGATGCGCTTGACTTCAATATGATGAGTATTGCTTAGTATATGTACTGCTCATTTGTAGTTCAGTACAAAAGCTTTTTTCCAAAACCTAGCTTCAACTAACCATCCATAAACAGAAACAAAAACTTCATTTTGCAGTCTCACGTGACTCAGCTGTGGAACATGTTGATTTCCTAACCTACCCAATAAATCTAAAATTTGTCCTAGTCTGCGAAAACCTCCTACTAAACCTGTCAAACGAAGCAAATGATACTTCATACCAATCCAAGTAATAGTGAATTGGAGGCGAGAAAAAGTGCTGTTAATCAGCATATGAACCAATTAAACAGAGAAATGTATTATCCCCTTCTTCCATATGCATTTCGGAAACAAGAAAGAAAGAAATTTTCCCAAAAACCAATACAAAATTGATAACTGCTAGTAAACAAAAAATGAGCAGAGAAGGTATTAGTTGAATTCAACAAGGAGACGAACGTACTAGAATGGCGGTAGCGATGGCGCCACCGACTCCGATAACGAAAACATTCCCAAATTCTCCGGCACTCAGTTTCCGATCATCCTTATCCCGTTGATCTCTATCAGATGTGTCTCCTTTTGTCATCTCAACGAATTCCTCCTTCCTTCTCCACAGCTATGGAGCGCATTCCTTCCTAAGATACTCAAATTCACTAAAACCTTTTCAAAATTGAAGCTAATTCAAATGAATTTTTATTTCTTTCATCATAATTCTTCAGGTTGCTGATTTCATTAGGATTTATGGGCCTGATTGCATCTTATGGTCAATTTAAGTCGGTGCATTCTTCATGGACCGGCCCGGATGAATGGGCTGCGGAGAATTTTAATCGAATTGACTCAAATGCCCCCGTTGGCGAAGAAAGCCCTTGGCTGAAAGGCGCCTATCATTTTTACTGGTAAGAAGAGTTTATTCTCCATCATCGAAAAAGGTTTTGAAATTTCTAGCTGGAAAACACTGTGGAAGCATTGCGCGTAATATTCCATTATGGATTTAGAGTTTTAGTCCTTCGGTATTTGAAATGTCATTGTTCAGAATTGAAGTATTTGTTTTATAAATTTTTAATTCCAATTTTGAGCATCTTGTGGGTTACTATTTTCCTAGTACAGAATGATGTATTCCCAGTTCTTAATTTCATTATCATTTTCCTTTGTATACCTTCCATTGCAAATGAAGCTGGAAGAATTATCATGGATATTTATAGAACGAATGTAATGATTGAGCTCCTTTGTGACGAAGTTACATTTTTTTAGTCTCATGATTATATGTGATGGTCCTAAGTAATTGATGTTTGGTACTCTTAATTATTACTATAACGTAGTAACCCACAATTTGGGTATAATTAAAAAATCACCACAAAAAACAACATCTGTTTCAGATGTTGTTTCTTATAATGAGTTTTAATTATTACTAAGTAATTGATGTTTGGTACTCTTAATTATTACTATAACGTAGTAACCCACAATTTGGGTATAATTAAAAAATCACCACAAAAAACAACATCTGAAACAGAAACAAATCTTGGTTCCAACTAAAATGAAAACAAATGTGATTTTTTTATTTTTATTTTTTTTAAAAAAAATAAAATTACCTAACTCCAAAAGTTACGATTTGACTATGAAGCCTCTAACATAAATTACTGATTTGTACAGTAAAGTAAAAAGAAAGAAAAAGCCCAAAAAAGCCCTTTCGTACGTGAACTTTTGAGATGGCAAAAAATCAAGGAAAACCAAACTACTAATTAATTAGAGACCGACGTGAAGTCTAGCAAAAAGAAAAGAAAAAGATCGAAGAGCTATACTTTGATGGTTAAATTCATGTAAACTATCTCTGGGTCGGTGAGATTCATATTTAGAATACAGAGAGTAGCATTTGAGAAAATGTTTTTATTTTTTCTCAGTTTAATTATGCTACCAATAAGTACACGTTGATAATGCTAAAAAAAATTAAATGTCTAATTGGATATATTTTTTAAAACCAACGCTAAAAAGATTAATGCCCTCTCTAACCAGTAATTGCCAATACAAGCTCATACAACGGTTAGGGTGGTGGTACTAGTTGCCAATCTGAGGCTAGCTCCGGAAGGAAACCCTAGCTGGTGGAGGACCTTCTTTTATTTCAACCCCAATTGATAATCCTTAATTAACTGAGTGTGAGCCAAAAACACAGAATTATACTTCTTTAATTTATCCAGCATGTGCATAAACATATTATATAGTTGAATGTTCCTTTATTGCTGTCTCCCGATACGTATATACATAAAATTACAAAAAAGTGAATTAAGAGGTTAGTAGGGATAAATGGTTGGGACTCCTTCAACGATGAAAAATGTGGCTTTTGCATGATTTGCAACCATGCTAGTTTTGTCTACTTTATACATACACATAGATCTCCTTATTGTAACAAAATAAAATTAAAAAATAAAAAGATTTACTTGTTAACTGTCAATTAAGCACATGACAAGCCGTCGTCACACTAGTCAAATAATTAATTACCTACTTATACAATTACTAGCAGTAAAGCAGAAAACATGGTCGATCCCACAGAGAAAGTTACCAAGTACCGGTTAAAATTATTTCTTATTATTATTTAGATTAACAATTTATCAATTTAAACTAATCTAAACCTAAAACTATCAATTGCAATTATTTGAAGATATAAATAAGTAAAAGAAAAACGTAGGGCAAAGGGTTCACCAATCGACTGTTCAGTTTAATTTAATCTATAGATATGTGACTTTCGACTCTCATTAATCTCACGACAATTCACCAATTTAAGAATTAGACACTCTCATGTCATAACCCTCTTACTTAAACTAATCTTATGACTACTCTCGTGACTATAGAGATTAATAAAAGCACATTAAGAACTTTGGAATTACTAGTCGCAAAGGCGGTGTTCCTACTCCCGTGGCCCACTATCTAAGTTTAATATTCCCACGAACTAGTGCTAACCTTCAACCGTCGTTCCTTCAGTTAAACACCTTTAAAGCATGCAAGTGGTGATCAAATACTCACATGGAATAAAAACAAGAATATAAAATATCAACTAATGAAAAAGTTACAATCATAACTTAATATAAATTAAATAGTACGGAGGCTACATCCAAAACCCGAGATAAAATAATTTAGCTACACATCATCTCAAAAATAAATATAACAATGAAACCCGGGAGAAGTAGGCCAAAAGTTGAGTCTGAAGTTGCTTGCTTCCTCCTCCTTTGATGATGGTGCGTGAGGTTGGGGTGTTGGTTGCGTGGAGTTGGAAGGTGTAGAAAGGATTTGGTGGTAGGGAGGTGTGATGGATGATGGAGGCCGTGTGGTAATGAGGTGCGTGGAGGTGTGGGAAGGTGATTTTGTTTTTTGTGGGAGTTAGGCGTGGGTTTTATGGGTAAGGGCTGGTGGTGAAGGTGGAGAGGAGTTTGTGCAGGGGAGGTTTGATGCGTGGGAATGGAGGTCGGCGGAGTAGAATGGTGTGATGGAGTTGGTTTTTTTGATTAAGTCTCTCTCTCCAAAAATAAAACCCTCGGCTTTACTCAAACCCTATTTCTTCAGGAATAAGAAAGTTATTTTTTTTTCAAGTCAATTTAAATTAAAACTCCCCCAACTCTTCGAGTGCTTCAATTTCTTCCTTGTCAATTTATCAAATCTTCAATTCTCCCTTTGAGTTGCTTTTTCTTTTCAATTTAGTCCAAAATCTCAACAATTCTTCCATTTGAGTACAAAACCTACAAATAAAGATAAAATCATATAAATATCATATTGTACTCAAAATACATTGCAAAAATCACATATTATGGATATAATAAATAGGTAAAATATAAGAATATCAAATACCCCCAAAACTTGAATTATTGCTTGTCCTCAAGCATTTCCAAAGATTAAAACAAATAAAAACAGTTAATTATTTAATTCTGGCGGCCTCAGAGATCTAATATTATATTACACAAAGACCTCGACCACCTCTAATATGCACTACCTAACAAAATGCAAACCATATGAACTTTTAGCCCCCACGCTTGTGTGTGTGTGCGATTCGTTTCTTAGGGACATCACTTTACATTTAACATAGAAAACAAAAGCTCTACTGCAAATATGCCATATATTAAGATTTTAACACAGATTCACATTTCACACTATATTTCAATGCAATGGACCACCAGACATACTATGAAGTAGAAGGACTTATCTCACAGACAACCTATTCCCCCTCGTAACTCATTCTTCGGTCCATGCGGCATTTCTTCAGGACTCTTTCCAACTCAGGCCACTACCCAGAGCATTTTTCCACTCCTATACATAGTGGCTCAGCAACTTAGGGCAGTCTACATATCTATTTTTCCTCACCGGGCCTGAGGACTCTCCGCTCAGGTTGCCAATTCCTCACCTCTCAATGGGGCTAGCATCAACATTAAATGCTCATCCTTTTCTCCCTCATTAAATTTAACCTAACCTCAGAAGCATCCGCCAACACCCCTCCCCCAAACTTACTTAACACAAAGTGTCAAAGCAATAAGGTTTGTTAAGGCTGATATTGGGTTAATGCCTTGCTTTTCCTTCACAACATGATGGGTTCCACATACAAATCATACAAGTATGAGTGAATCAAACACAACTTTAATGGCATATCTACATCAAACTCATGTAACTATGTCTCACTTTAGGCTTATCCCACAGGCACGACTAAATGCATATAAAGCAGGGTATTCAAAGCAACATATAGAAATACACAAGTTAAGTAATACAATTCAAAATAGTCTAATTCTTACATGTTATAGATAATCAAACCATCTTCATCATAGGCCTTTTTGGATTTTTCAAGTTTAATTTTTATGGTTTTTTTTTTAAACACAAAACACAATACAAAACACAAATATTCCTCTCCCCCACACTTAAAGCATACATTGCCCTCAATGTATAAGACACAAAAGACAAGCAACCAAGTGAAAAGAAAAGAAAAGACAAAAATAAAAGAAATGAAAAGAAACGACACAACCCTAGGAATGCAAAACAGAGGACCGGAATTGTTGAATAAACTGTTGCAACTGCCATCCAAGCACACGACCAACTTCTTCAGACTTTTGGATGTTTCATTTTCAGCACCATTGGACACCAGAGTTTCGCCCTTCCAACAAACCTAATTGCAAACTAAAGTAAATTAGAAAAACAAACCTAAAAAATAGATGATTAAGAAAACCACGAAAATCCAAAAATCAAAGATCTCCAGATAATCAGGAACAAAAAACTTAACCATCAACTTATTAATGAAAGAAAAAGAAAAATAAAGCAAAATAAAGAATTGGGTTGCCTCCCAATAAGCGCTGTTTTATAGTCTTTAGCCGGACTCCAGGACTGATCTGTCAGAGTACCCATCTCAATACCATAAGAAACCATGTTCAGCAGCAACAATAAATCTCTTGTAGTGGCTCTCCGTGCCATGAGAAAATATAAACTTATACTCCAACACTACAACATCCTCTTTCTCAAATTCAATCTTGTACCATTGATCCTCTTCTTGGTCTTTCATTGAACCAACTTTCACATTATCTACACTATCTCTTATACTATGGACAACCTCGCCACATTTGTCTACTTGAAACCCTTCTTTTGAAACTATAGGAATGTTCTGCCAGTGAAATCAACTTGATCTACATCCTTGTCACCAACTCTCAGAATGAGCGAATCATGCTTAACTACTATGTATATACCAGAAGAATTAGAAGAACTTGGAATATCTGACTGTTAATCTCTTTGGTCTCTTCTAATTCTTTACATTCAAGGTCAGTTTGAGATGGTGGATGGGGAGACAGGACCAATGAATCATCTTCAGAAATCTTCTCATTCTTATTCAATTTAAGCAAATTTCCTATAGGATCATATTTCGGCAAGCCCACAC